CTCTGAGACCTTTGAACCATCTGGCCACACACACCCAGCAACTTTCTAGGTTTTGTTGAGATAATTTAGAATCTGTCAGCACACATCTACCTCAAGAGTCCCTTATTAGCACTTATATAATTGAGAATCATGCAATGCGCATATTCAGTGTGTGTGCATATAGATTCCAGGGTTTACTAACAACTGTTTTGCTTCTTTTTCCCTATAGTTTTTGTTTGACTAAGTCTCCAAATATCTTCCATGAGAGCAGTATGTAACTTTGCTGTACAGGCAACTTGTTGAATGAAGAGGTTGTAGTCTTTTTCTTAGTATTCTGATGACAGGTTCCATGTCAGTCAGATATTTCTCCCTTATAAGTAGCTTCTTCTCAGGTGCTGCCAAGTGTGGAATTGGTGGAAGAAAGCCTCTGAAAGTCCAAGGGAAAATGCAAGCCAATAATAAAACAGGCTAAAAGCCAGGCTTCTTTTATCCCACCATGCACCTTAATTCTAACCATGTTAGTGATAAAATACTCCTAACAAAAGAAAAATCTTTTCTTTATCTGTATCCTCAATAATTCCTATAGTTTGTGTTGAATTTTAACAATATATATTTACCCTTCAAGTTTGCACTTTTTTATGACTATCTTTTAATTAAAAACATGTCCTCTAATGGGGCCAGGAGTTATAACTCGGTAGTTATCTCATGTATGAGGCCCTGGGTTAGAAGGCAGCACTGAAAAAAACAAAATCTTGTACATTGTATTTCACATGGAAATATCAACCTCAGTAACAAACCTGTGGGCTGTATTTCCATTTCTGGAATTATTCCAAAGTGGGACTTTTACATATCTCTTTATATTATATATGACTACAGACAAAGTTCAATATTGATAATATCATTAACATGTCTTCAAAAACTGATGTGATGCTTTTTAAAAATAAAAACTCATTCCTGTGGTAGATATAATTTTTTATTTTAAAAACACCATTAAATAAATCTAAGCAGCATTAATCCATCACTTTTTTTCATTTTAGACACTATAATATTGATTTTTATTTTTTATTTATATGCTCATCTATACATATTCTATAAAAAGACCTTTTAATGTCTATGTTTATGTTCTAGCATTGCTGATGACTTATTCAATAATTAGTAGTTAAAAATATTTTTGTCATACATAGGAGGGGATTGTGAAGAAAATGACCTGCTCCCGATTATAAACATAAAATATACTACTGGGTGCTTTATTCTGTCTCAAAATAGTGTGCACAGTTTCTTCCCATGATATTCCTGTATTTGTGTTTATTCATTGTAGGGCATGTTTTTTTCTATTATTTGTTGAATTACAGTGTGTTCATCTGCTCTTTCTTCTCTGCATAAAATTTATCTTATTAGCATATTGGTTCCTCAGGATATTCTCTCTCATGTTTTCAGTTTAGTATTTCTTCTTTCTCTTTGTACTTTGAGCTATTTCTTGTATCTGATTCCCACGTCATGAATTCAAGTCTCAGATAACTATCACACCTTCTGATTCTCCACTGAATTTATAGTTCATATCATGATTTTTATCATTCAAATGTGAATGTATATGTAGTACTTAGATCTCAAGCACTATTATTATTATACATATTTTTATGACTTTTCTGCCACTAGTAGGTCCTTTCCCTGAGTTTCAGGTATGAGTTGTATGTAGCTCTTCCTTTCTCTGGCTGCTGGGCTTCTGTAGGTTGCTGTCATTTTTCTTGATTGGATCACTGGGACATAGGTCTGGTTTGTGGTGTGTTAGAGTGGTGGAGGATTTATAGCAAAGGAGTCTCTAGGCCACAAGCTTGTGCTATAGAAGCCAGAAGGCTGTCGTGCTCCTGTAAGAACAATTAGAGAAGAGAGTCCCCTTGGATTTCAAGGGCAGGGAATTCAATAATTCTAACAGCTCCATCATGTGTCCTTTCGGGGCTCAGGAAGAGCCTGTGAAGTCCAATATCACCCTTCCTTGAGTCTGTTTATTTTTCTCAAGGCCTGATGCTGTCTCCAGGTTCCTGCTTCCTGAGTCTTAGCTCAGGCACTGCCTAAGCCCTCAGTGGAGACCACCACCCCGTCCTCACTTTGTCTCTAGTTGAGGGCCTAAGCAGAATTCCAGGCCTCACCAGCAGCCAGCTGCTCATTAGTGCAATTCCATTTGATTCCAGAGACTCAAGAAAGTTGTGGCAACGGGAGTGGAGAGTCACGGTACAGAATGTGAAATGTCCTCATCTCAGAAACATGTTAGAGATTGCTTTAGGCAAGGTGTCTATTACCTTTAATTAAAATGAGAATTTCACTAAATAAAAAAAATCAAGCTCTCTATAGCTATAACATGTATAAGAACAAATAGAGAACTCACCAAGAATAAAAGAGACACCTTCTATGGACAAAGAAATATAATTGAGTTGGTTCCTGACAAAGGATGATTCAACTTATGATTTTTTCTGACTTTATGACAGAAATTGATGTACATTTCATAGAAACAACATTTTTCATTTTGAATTGTGATCTTTTCCCAGCTAGCAATACGCAGTAGGATCGCTCTTGAAGCTGAGCAGCAGCAGTGAGCTCTAAGATCACCAGGAAATACTGATCCTCTACAGTGGGCTGCATGGCTTATCCTGTGACCATGGGTAGCTTAGGTGTGTTAAGTGCATTTCTATTTATGATACTTTCAAATTATGAGTTTATTGGGATATAACTGGACAGTACATCAAAGAACATCTTCATATTATCGTAGATAGGAAATGTCACTTACATTCAATTTAAAGATTTAAAGCTGAATGGGACCTCAGGGGTCATCTAATTATTCTCCATTTTTTACCTCCAGGACATAACATATAGTAGGACGTTAATAAATATCAGATAAATGAATGATGTGTGAAGACTCTGCCAGTAACTACTTGTGTGACTCTGGGAAGTGTGACTAACAGAACCACATCTTCCTCATTTATAGGAAGACTGGAAAACAAGTAAATGACATTGTCCTCTGACTTCTTAATACATGGCAGATTAAGGAGACAGACATGTACATAGGTAGTGTAAATCATGTGTAAAAAGCCCTCCAGTGGGAATCTGAAATGTGGGTGCCCATGCTGTGTGCTTCCCGTTCTTCTCTCCCTCCCCTTTCAGCCAGCCATTATAGCAGGCACTACATCATTGGCATGGAGGATGTTTTCCCATAACATATGGTGTCACAAGCTGTGTTTGTCTATGCAGGAATAACCAACCTGGCATAGCCCTTGGCCTCTGCTGCCCTGGCTGTCCTGGACATAGCTCATGTTCATGGAAGGGATCATCAATCATTCCCAGTCTGATTGTGCTGCTTTTAACTTCCCTTCTGCCTCCCCCTGCATCCCCACTATTCAAAGAGGAGCATGAGGAGGCTCTTAGATGGGGAAAAGAGCAGTAAAAAATAAAAGTGAACAAATGTGCAAATTACTCATGAGAAGTATTTGTCCTTAATCTTTAAGGTTCTGGGTCTACTAAAAGATGTCAGATAGGAGCTTGGCAAAGTGGCCACATCTGTAATTCCTTTGACTCAGGAGGGCTGAGGCAGGGGGATAGCAAGTTGCAGGCCTCCTCAGCAACTTATCAAGAGTCTGACTCACCATAAAAAATAAAAAGGGCTGGTGATATAGTTCAGTGGTAAAGTGCTCCTGGGCTCAAGTATTGCTTTAAAAAAAATGGTATAAGAAGGAAGTGACAGCACCTATTAGGCCCTTCCTCCAGAACAAGCTATGGAAACCAGAATAAGTACAAGACAAGCATGCTCCACACCATCCCATGCTCCCTACTTGTGGTGATTGCTCAAGGTAAACACAGGCCACATGCAAATAGGATCCCTAAGTTTAGTAAGAAAATACTGCAGACTTTTCTGAAGCAAGGTTATACAAACCTCATTCGACTCCCATCCTGCCAATTAAAATGCTGACTTTGGGCTATTATGTGGGGGTTGAACAATTGGAGACAATTGTTTCTCCAAGTTTGATGTAATTGAAACTTATTACAGGGGAAGAGTACCAATGGAATATGGACTTGTACCAAGTGCATGGAGCGTCTTTCAAGATGCTAGTTTTTGAATGGCTCAAAAATTCTGGTATAAAATTCGGTATATTTTTAAGCCTATTATTCCCAACCAAAATCTTCCCTTATTTATCCTGAAAAAAAAAAAACCCAGAAAATAACCACTACCATTTACAAAGTCCTTTGTCAGCTGTTGATTTATCTTATCAGCTCCTCTATCCTGCTAAAAACTTAGAAGTAATGATATTAGAATTGTCCCCTATCTCGTTGGTGGGAACCAGCCAATGTAGCTACTCAAGAAAAGCCACCACAGATCATTATTAAGACAACAAGGAAAGTTCTGGAGATTCTCGAGCAGAAAATGCAATTAAGTGGGCTGCTGAGCAGCAGGGAGACACACCCCATGAAGCTTCAAGAATCAGATACTCTATATACATTCCTGTTCACCCCACTTTCTTTTAGGCATAGCTTTCACAACTGTTAAATGCTAGATTCTCTTGAGTCTTCACAAGAGCAAAAGGTACACATACAGCATATCAAACCAGTATTCTGAAAACCTTTTATATTCACTTTCAAAAATTTTTAAATTCACTGACAAAAATGTACAACCATTTTGTTGTCAGCAATTTATAACCAGCCTTAAATAAAACATCATGCCTGATGTCTTCAGGGCTCAGGGAAGGTAGAAGCAAAATGTGGAGAGATGGAGAGAATACCGGGTTGGGAGGGATTATACATGACGTCAGGCTGGCCATGATGTCAGGCTGATGTTTCCCAGGTTTAGAAAAACAAGCTGGAATAATTCTTCCTTTTCTAATGTTCTTGGTGTAAACATTAAACATTTTAGGCTGACTGGAAGAAAGCCTGTGGCTTCAAAATAAAAACATTTGCCCTTAAGTTTTGAGATTTTGGACTTTACACTTCTATTATTTAATGACAAAAATAAATGATAATTTAATTGTCTTTGCTACCTGTCCTGCTTCTTCATTGTGGCCAATGTGTCCAATGTGTCATTAACTTCTTCAGCCTCAGGTAGCTTCTTCATTGTGGTTAATGTGTCATTAACTTCAGCCTCAGGTAGATCTTCAGGTGGTTCGTTAGATTCTATATCCAGCTGAGCTTCTTCTAGGGAATCTGGTTTTTCATTTCCTGGAGATACAACTAGCACATAGCTTAATCCAGTTGTCATTAAAGACACAAAATCTTCAAAGTCAGGCTACAAAATAAAATGATAAAAATAAAAATAATTCAGCCTCCTGAAATAGGTAGAGTAAAATGACAGACATAAAGACCAGTGGAATCTTCTCCTTCATGATCACTGAGCATGGGAATTAAACCTCCTGTTTGCAATGACTTTTTTTTTTCCAACACAGGAAATTAAGCCCAGAGGTACTTTCCACTAAGCTATATTTTGTTTTGAGATAGGGTCTCATTAAATTTCCCAGGTTCATCTCAAACTTTCCATTCTCCTGCCTCAGCCTCCCGAGTTCTTGGGATTAAAAATATAAAGACATTTTTGAAGGATAAAATTCCACAGCTAGCAGGAATTGACTATAAAGGCAGTCTAACAATTATTTTCAAACTTTAGGATGTTTCTATGTCATGTGCAGGGATTATTAAAGCACAGCATTCTGGGACTCAATCCCATTGGTTTTGATTCAGTAGCCTGCTGGTGAAATTCATGAATTGAATTTACTCAACAGTTCACAGTTGCTACTGATACAGCTGCTTCAACCCTTTCATTTTATAAATCTTTATACATGTGGAACCAGGAGGGGTGGTTCTTCAAATTGCAGCTAGTTCTGCAAGTTGATATCAGATGGAACTTTCTGTGACGAGGAACATGTTCTTCTGCACTCTCCAACAGAGTAGCTGCATGTGGCTACTGAGCACTTGACATGTGATTAGTGCAACCGAGTCTCTGAATTTTTAACATTATTTACTTTTAATAAATTTAAATTCAAATGACCACAGTTGTCTAGCATCCACCATATTGGACAGTGGGTTTCTAGAAGATAGGTCTCCTGACTTTTAAGTCAGTGCACTTTCCAATATTTTCCGGCACTGTTTTCATCATATTTGTCTAGGCAAAAGATAATTTAAATGAACACAACCTGCAAGAAAGAACTTTAGGTAAAGAATGGTTTAAAACCATTCCTGTGGAGCTGAAGTTAAGGAGAGACTTCACTGGAGGTACACATCTAGAGGACATAATAAAAAAGAGATATTCATTCCAAGGAAACAACCAGATCATTCTGCTTTGCCGGAGTATAACTATTTCTATCTTTGGAGAGATTTCCCCACTGTCTTTGGCCTGACCAAGATATGGACACTACCAAGGACACCTGCAGCTTAGTTGACTAGACCTACCCATTTGCTTTTCTGTAATGAAGTTCATAGGAATCACTGTATTTGAATGTATTTAAATACACAGTGGCTTTTTTTTTTATTTCTTACCTCATCTTCTATTTGACCGTAGAAGTCCCTCACTTGTCCTTCAGTGAGCATCATTGCTTCCTCTACTTCTATGACATATCCCTCCTTGATAATCTTCAATGAAATAGAGCAGAACAAGGCATGATGCAGATTAAAGGTAAATCAAGTTAAGGACATTTACTTCCTGGGTTTGAAGCACCCAGATTTTAATGCATTTCATGTAAAGACCTTAGCAACATCCCTAGGGCTCTAGGTTTGAAGTGGCTCTGAAATATGTGAGAAGGTTCTTTTTTGCCTCCTAGATATCTAAGTTTTCAAAGCCTGAACCAGGGCTGCAAAATATTTCCATTAAAATGAAACTGGCTCAAAGGATCATAGTTCAAAGCCAGCCTCATCAATTTAGTGAGGTTCTAAGCAATTTAGCAAGACTATGTCTCTTAATAAATTTAAAAAAGGGGAAGGATGCTGGGGATGTTGCTCAGTGGTTAAGTACCCCTGAGTTCAATCTCTAGTACGAAAATGGGGGAGGGGAGAAAGAGAACTGCCTCAAAATGCAAAAAAAAAAAAAAAAGACTTAATTTCAAGTGACAACATTGCAGCTTTCTGGATCACTCATAAAAACATACTTACAAGCACTTCTTAAGCATATTAAAAGTTGTTTGAACTTTATATCTTAATTTTTGAAGGTCATAACTCCTAATCTGTTTTTAGACAACATACTCTTTGGTAAAAAAAAATATCTATGATATTAGGAATTAAGAATTACCATGTTTTACTTGTTTGAGTAAAAATTTTATTTGATGACGAAATTCTGTTTTCATTGTCATTCACATGTGATAAAATGTAACAAAGAAAAACTTTGAGGCAAATATGACAAGCCCAATGAGTCCTATGTGATCAAATAAAATTGCATTAATTGTTACCAATAATGTCACCTCAATTTTATTTGGGAACATCCAGGACCAGGTGCATCCTGCTTCAGTTAGGGACATAAAAATTCTACTAGTTCCATTATCTTCCTTGACACTGTAGAACATTACTTACATCTTAATGACCCCCTCTTCGTTGACCCCCATTTAAAAACTGAAATAATGTTTTGTCAAGTCACATAGTAACTGACAACAGAAAATTGAATCCAAGCAACATTTAGGCTTGATAAAATGTCCCTTACTATAGTTTTAAACTGTTGCATGTTCATTTGCTTTTATTCACAATATTCCTTACATTTTTTTTTCTGTTCTGTTACATAGCTTTCACTGTACTGAAGAGAGGAGGGGTTTTTAGCAAACATTTATTACATCTCTGAAATAAGTTCATCATGCCAAAAACAAAAATTTCAGATATAATAATGACTAATAAGACTGCCTTAACTGAAAGAACCATGCAGTTTTGGAAATCTTCACAATGGTGGCTATTAAAACATAAGGAACAGTAAACCATTGATGTGAGACATTGAAACACTTGATGAAGAATAGCTAATGTATAAAGGAATAGGGTAGTTAGGTGTCACTCCAGTCCCCCACATACATACCAAAATCTGGAGAAAAAGTGCTCACCTTAGAGAGTGCTATTAATTAAATTGATATAAAAATGGAACAAATAGTATATGTCCTGTCACCTGCATGATAGGAAGTTCATCAAGAAATGTCCAATCCCACCTTACATAACTCCCCATGTGACCTCTTCTATTGCACATGCAACTTTCCTTCAAATTGCAATATGATTTTGTTGTCTTGACACCATGTCCTTATTCAGGGCTCAGGAAACCACAGGCTGCTGTTAAAATATAGCCCATTGCCGTTTTTTGTAAATATAGTTTACAACATAGCCATACCCATTCACTTACATATTATTTATTGCTGTTATTGGAGACATTATGCAGCCCAAAATGAAAATAGTTACTATTTGATCCATTATAGAAACAGTTTGCTGACCTCAGAATTATAGTATAATTTTCATATATATACACATATACATACACACATATAACATATGGATATACATTTATATATATTATTATGTTATATGATATTATATATTAATATAATTATTTGCATAATTATATTTGCATATTAATATGTGTACATATATTTTATATATACATATATATTTTTTATATATGCATGGAATTCAAGGAAGGCATAGAATGATTAAATGCAAAGGAAACCAAGGCATTGTCATTAATGAGGACCAGGGATTAAACTAGGGGTGCTTAACCACTGAGCCACATCCCCAGCCCTTTTTTATACTTTTTGAGACAAGGTCTCAATGAGTTCTTTAGTGCCTCACTAAGATGCTGAGGCTAGGTCTTAACTTGCAATCCTGCCTCAGCCTCCCAAGCTCCTGGGATTATAGGTATGTGTCACTGTGTCCAGCTATTTATATATTTTATGAAAGATTTATTTTGGCTCTAAAACAAAACATTAATCACTTCTTAAGTTATTGTTTATTGAAAAGAATCATATATTGGTAACAACATACAAGGAATAAAGCAAATTAATGTAAATTTATAATAGAACTGCATTGCTGATAATTAAATAACAAGAGTATTTGTTACAATCCAATATAAGAAAGACAATTTTTACAATTTAATAATAGAGTAGCCTTTTTAAAAGGAGGATGCATGATTAAATGGAGACTTTGTTATGACAGAATGCTCAAAGCCTTTAGAGGAAACTAATACCAGGAAGCAGTTCATTGGGTTTTATTCTAAATGACAAGCTTCTCTCCAAATTGACAATTAATATATTATTATTGTGTAATTAATTTAAATGGTTGTTGGTAAATACTACTTACTTTTCCAAATAGCACTTACTTTTTTTTTAATTTCCAAAGCTTTATTATTAACCACAGCATCAGGTCTGATAAGAATAATAGAGTAATGTTCCTCTAGAAATGAAAAAAAATAGAATTTAATTTTCTTGGCACCAAATTGGGCAATTAGAAATGCAAATTCCTAATGCTCTGTGAATTTCTGACCATTGATAGCTTTGCATCTTATTTTGGCACTTCAACTCCCATCAGTAGTTTTGATGGTGCTTCAACTAATAAGATAGTTGATATCTTATTGAGGAGCACTTGAAATCAAAGCACAGATCTTATCTTTACATGCAAGGAAAACATTCATGAGAGTTCTTAAGAAGGAGGCAAAAATCGATTGAGTGGAATCTAGTGGTTTTAATGTAATTCACATGTATTTAAAACACATCTACAATCTATCTAGTTCAGTATCACCAGTGAGTAAAGATTCAACTATGCACTATGCAGCAGAAAGTGGACAGAATCACCATCCATGAATTTATCTGCATTCTTATGACTTTTACTGCAAACCCACTCAATGAGGGTAGCAATTTGCTCTTGCTGCCTCCAGAGAATGAATACACACTTACATACACACACAAACACACACACATGCATGGAGTTCAGGGAAGGCATAGAATGATTAAATGCAAAAGAAACCAAGGCATTGTCATCAAGGAATAAGTTATTTTTGCAAGTTTTTGGAAGATGATGAAGGATGAAGTATAGAGCCAGGTGTAGTGACACACACCTGTAATCCCAGCAACTAGGAAGGCTGAGACAGGAGGATCAGGATTGCTAAGTTTGAGGCTAGTCTCAGCAACTTAGCAAGGCCCTCAGAAACTGAATGAGACCCTATCTCAGAAACTGAATGAAACCCTGTCTCAAAGTAACAATTAAAAAAAAAAAGAAATAGTACACTGCTGTCCACATTAGTTAAAGGAGATAGAATCTAATTGTCCTGCAGAACCTTTGAGGCAAGGGAAACAGAAGAGGGTGCCTTTTGACAACTAAGTCTTTCAAGGCATTCATCATTATTTATCTGCCCTTACTGAGTAACATTGATGTTGGTACCAAATATCGTTGCTACAAAATAAGCACACCGGTATGGAAAACCCTTCCCATTACTTAAAGTAAATTTACTTACCTACATTATCGCCATGTGCTTCCTCATTCTCTTCTAAATCTAAATCCATGAGCAAAATTTCATTATACTGTGAAGGAGAAATGCAAGTAAGACACAGTTCTTTTAATCTGATGGTGAAAGAGTGTTTAGAAATTATTTTTTGTTGTTGTTTCTAACAAATATTTTGCTAATAAAAAAAGGTAGAGTGAAAAGGTGCCTTGATTCACATTGCCCAAATGCTTCCCAGAAAGGCTGTAACATTTAGGCACCTGGATAGTTATAAAGCACTACAGTTTGGATAGTGACTCCCAAAGGCCCATGTGTTCAGGGCTTGGTCCCCAGCCCTTGTCCTTTAAAAGGTGGTGATGGGCAGTTAACTAACACATGAAGTTAGGAAAACAAGAGAAAGGTAATGCATTTTAAAAATTAAATTAGACATTCATTCATAGTGTTACCTCAGGGCGTTCCATTTCCCCTGCTACAATCTTCCTCTCTTCATTGATCAAGTTAGTTACCTTTCTATTAATAAGAGGTGCATTTGCACCCTCAATTTTTGCAATGATTTTTCCATTCTATAAGGGAAAAGAAAACATGGAAGAAACTCTCATTTTCAGAATACATCAAGAATTAACTTATAATCTGAACCAGGTCACCTCTCCCTGCCTTTCATCCTCATCAATCTTTCAGCGATCATAATCAGCCAGTTTTTAGAGTCAGATATCAATGATGTGAAGGCTTTATTAATTTGACAAACCAAACTCTTTGGGTTCTGCCTCCAATTTGCCTGTCCTTCCACCACCCAGGGCATGCCAGTACCCTCCTGCACTGTGTCATCACTCAATAGAAGAACTCACTTGCACTCTCTCCTGGGGAACCCTTGCTTTAAATATGAAAGATCCTGGACAAGCCTCCCAACATTACCCTCCCAAGTTATTTCCCCTTTTGTCTGTCTTTCAACTCATAGATACTAAACATGTATTTCCTGGCATGGTAGCAGGCATGATGGCATGGAATAAGAGGCCTCATAAATTAATTGCAAAACAAAACAAAACAAATGCAACCCATAAAACCACAAACACATGTGGAATAGCAACCATGATGGGTGTCACTGAGGGTTGCAAAGCACTTCAGAGCACCTACCAGAATATGTCCGGGTCAAGCGGATCTGGAAAAGTACCTCTCAATCTCAAGAAGTGATTCTTGGTTTAAAATATGACAGGTAAGAGACAATAAGGTAAAAAAGAAGAAGGAATAGCATGATATGAAGAAGGAATAGCAGATGCAAGGGTGTAAGCTTGAAGGAAAGACCTGCCAAAGGTGAAGCCCAGCACTTATGAGGAGCCAGACATGAAGAGCTTTGGAGCCTCAGAAGGCTGCAGCCTTCATCCTAAATACAGGTGGAAACTACTGGAGCATGTATTTAAGCAGACTGTGACCACAAGTAGAATTGTTTTTTGTAAAGATTATGTTATCCATTGTATGGAGAAAGGGAAGAAGCAGAGCAAGAGAAGATGTGTGTATACATTTTAGGATCTACTCTAGAGATTGCTCAGCTTATGGCAGAGTGGTGGAGTTGCAAACAGTGGAAAGAGGTAAATGGGTGTGGGAGACTTGATCAGTGAAATGGACAGGTCCAAGGTATAGTTTGGATTGGGTGGAATATAAAGATAATCTTTTAAAAATTGATAAATTATGAATTATAATGTCATTTTCCAAGTGAGGAGAGCCTGGGAGAAGAACACATTTGCAGGCATGAAGACCTGGTGTTAGATAATTTCATTGTAAGATGACTTTGAGAAAGGCAGGAAGAGATGCCAAGGCACTGGTTGGGCCCTCAAGTCAAGAGTTCACAGTACAGCATTTATCTGAGGATGAAAACTTGAGTTATTGATAGATAATGATAACTGCAAGTGTGTACAGAGGGAATTTTCTGAGATGAGTATCAATATCTAATAGCTGAATAAGGAAGGGTGAACCTGCAAAAGAGAAGGAGGAGAACAGCATCCAGGAAAGTGAAAGAAAAACCAAGTCACACCAATAAAAGAAGTACCTATGGCATTTGCAGGAAAATGGATGGCATTAAAGCAGATTATGCTGAGTGAATTAGCCAATCCCCCCCCC